CGCTCTTATCCATTCATACTAAAATATCGATACTTAGATATAAGAAGAAGGGATAATTAGGGATAAAAGAGAAGACCGTTTTGAAATAAGACAAGTTTTATTCTTTCCTAGAAAATGAAGGCAACCTCACAAACGAGGTTTTGTACTTTAAACGACGATATGTATGTATGTATGTATATCGCTAGGTTATACTGAAAAGTTGCTAAGTCCGCTTTAAGTGAAAACTCATATTTTGATAAAGGAAGCAAGAGAAATTAGAAATGCTTCGTTTCTAAAAGGATTAAAGTGCTCGCTTTATTTCTTCCTGTTTATATTCAATTGAACGCAAATTTGCAAGCTCAAAAAAAATTAAAAATCGAAGCCTTTAATCAACAACGAAAGATTCAACAAGAAGATTCTTCTTCTGATTTAGCTTTGCCTTATGGCCCTATTATATACGGCGACTGGGGTCTAGTTGCTGGTCTAGTAGCCATGGCTACCGGTATCGTAATTTGTATTATGTATAGCGATTAATCTCAGTATAAAGAAAAGAGCAGAAAATATCCGTATTTTTTGCGTAATTCTTGAAGAAAATGGCTATGAGTAGTTTTTTTTCCTCTCCTAAAAAATTTCTAAAAATGGACTTGGCAACTTTTCACTCTATGCGAGGCGCGATTTATGTGAAAAACCCCATCGTGAATAAATTATAATTTTTCCTATGGACTCTCGACGCCCTTTGATTAAAGAAAAACATTAAATGAAGATTTCATTTTTTTTTTAGAGAATAGTTATTTGATTTATTTATCATTAAATTAAATTGTTGTGAAGTAAAAAAGTGTGTAGGAAACATTTTACATTTTATGTTTGTTTGTTTGTTTGTTGGTTTTTATAGCGATGCATTTTTTTGTTGTTTTTCATTTTTGTTGATTTTTCATACATACTCGTATGTATACATTAATTAATATTTTATACATATACATATATGTATATATATATATTTTTAAATTTATTTGAAGAAATCGTACAGAAATATAAGCGTTAATGCGATAGAAATACAAATACAATTACAATTAGGAATATATTTTAAAATTACAAAATACATTTTCGCTTTAAGTAATAAGTATGTATGTAAATATGTATGTAGATAATAAACATATAATGGATGCTTGATTTAAAACTACGAAACATACATACATACGTACGTACGCATACCACGCACATTTGTATGCGTGCGTATGTATGCATCTGGTACGTATGTATGTACATAGGTACGCAATAAAAAGTGCTCGTGTTTTTTTTTTGGTTTTTGCAAAGCGAATAAGAAACTTTACGCTTAATGCAAATTGAGAAACGTTTACAGCCAATTTCACACGATAGCAATTTAACTGAAAAGTGATTTTGCTATTTTGAATTTTATATGGAAATTGACAGAAAATAAAAAATCATTTTTCATTTAAAATGCTGGCTGTTGTGGTGAATCAATTGAAAATGAGTGCACAAATATAGTAGATACATACATACAAACATACATATGTATGTATCTGTATGCATCAGCATTGGAGTGAGCATTTAGCATTACAAAGCTTTATACATTTAATGGATTACTTAGCTTAAATGATTTATTATGCATTGAAGCTTAATTGAAAACTTAAGTTATGCATAACTAAACTTAAAGTATTCACAGCTTCACTGGTTATTGTTTTGTTTGTTTGTTTGTATGTTGAAATGTTTACATGCATGCAGCTCACTTTGTGTTTAAGCAACTAAATAATATGCATTTATCAGAGCGCGTGTGTGTATGTGTGTGTGTGTGGTTTGTACATGTATGTATGTGTGTGTAATTGCAGTTGCAATTAATTGTAGCCGAGCTTCACTTGTCTACATATATGTATGTATGTAGATAATTACAGCGACAAAGTACCGGTTGCATGCGCGCGCGTTTGTGTATGTGTATCTTTGTGTGGGTGTAGGTGTGTAGCTTAGCTTAACTTTAGCGGGAGGAGTTTCGCCGAAGTGGCTTAGCAGAAACTAATTTGAACCATTTATTTTTGTAGGCATCGGGAATTATACAGTTAGACGCCACAATGCAAAAATGGTAGGTGTCATTAGCGGCAAAAAAAAGAGAAAAAAAAAAAAATTAATGACTAAAAAATGACAAAAAAAGAGATAAATGTGCTTGTGCAGGGCAGAGCAGATAATTAGAGCGCTTTAGTAGCGGCGCAGCAAATGGCGTTCAGCTGAAGAACGAAAAAATTTTATTTTGACAAACAAAAACAAATTTGAAAAATTCTAATAATTCGAATAATTCTATTGCGGCTTGAAAAATTTGTTCTTGTAAAAGATAATTGAAATTCGTTTAGAAATAGTTATTGTTACGAAGTTTGTTGTAGAGGAAGAAAACTGTCTGCTATCTACACATACAAGTCTGTGTTTAATATATGTTTTTTTTTTTAAATATCTAATTATAATGTTTTCACTTTTTCTAATTGTAAAAAATAACTATTTAGTTTTCATTTTCGCATTTGTATACTTTGCAAGTTTATACTCATTTTTTAGTTGCAACTTTAAATGTGTAATTAATTATTTTGTTGTGAGTTGCAAATGTTTGTCGTTTGCGTTATTTTAATTTTGTTTTCGCTTTTTGCTTCAGTTGGAGATTGTCATACATTTCCAGCATTAGATGATTCTAACAAATTTCCTTCAGTTTTTTTTTTAAATTTGCTTTATTTGCATTATTTCATGCGCCTTTATGCACTGTATGTATTATATATATACGTGTTAAATTTCATTAAAAATGTGTTTGAATAAAATCTGAATTATAAATGTTTTAAATATTTTTTTTTTTTTTTTAATTTCATTTCATGTGCTTATTTTGGTTTGCATAAGTATATTGCTAAGTCTGTACGTCTATGTAGTACTCGCAAAGTTCGTTTTAAAGCTATTTCCATTCAGCTTAAAACCTCCGATATGAATTTTTTATAAATTTTTATTTGTATGCATGTATGTATGTATGAATGCATTTTCGTAGTTCGAAATTGCCTAAAAAACCAAGTCGGTGTTTGTTTAACTATTGTTCGAAACCATTTTTCGTTATTTTGTGTGTATTTAAAAAAAAAAATGATTTTCTATGATTAAAAGATTTATGCGTATTTTTGGCGTTTTTGAAAAAGTGCAGAAAACTACAGTAGTGGTAGGTTTTAAATAGCAACACTTATTGCTACTTTCACTTGTGAGGTTTAAATTAAAAAAGAAAAATTTAAACTTTTTTGCTAAATTTAGTAAACGATTTTTTAAGTATTATAGTAGATTTAATATTTTTCGAAATTATTATTCAAATGTTTTTTTTTCAAACATGTATTATTTTCAATTTTTTTTTTACAAAAGGAATATAAAACCAACTAATATCCAAACCAGTGTGTAATAATTTAAAATTTTTTTCTGTACGGATTTTTTTTTAGTAAATATTAACTTTTTTACAAATTAATAAAATAAAAAATAAGATTTTTTTTTTTGGAAATTGTTGTTTTTATTTTTTCGACTTTTTTAATATCTTCAAATTTTTTATAGAAGGTTGCTACGCAAAAAATACCACTACTCACGCCTTCTTCAGCCTTTTCAAAAAAGCTTTCAATTATTAATTTCATTTTATGGAATGTTTGTGAAATTTACTGGAATTCTTCAATTTGTGTTCATGTCTATGTATTCTTATCTGCGTTTTATTATTTATTCTTTTTGTGAAAGATATGTACATTGTACATAAACATTTACATAAGAATATTAATTACTCAACTTAGTAGTACACAAAACTACATACATCTTTCACAATAATTATAATTTTTTTTCTGCTACGTTACGCTGTGTTGGTTTACTGTTACAGCCACATGACATTAAAAACACCTCACTAGATACTGTACAATATACATATACATACATATGTGGGTATTTTTTTTATTTCAACACTAGTATTTAATATATATTTTTTATTTTCATTTTAAATTGCTACCTACATAAATTTAATTTTTTTTTTCAGTTATTTTGTGTTGAGTAAGTGTAAAAAATAGTTTAATCGTTTTGTGTTTAAAGATTCCATTTTAATATTATTTTTACTTTTTATTGTATTAGATTTTAGTACTTAGTTTCGGAAAGCGGTTGGTTGGCCTTTTCTTTGGTGCAGTTTGTTAAAAATTTAAATTTTCGCTGAAAGCAATCAACACTTGTGAATACTTTAATTTTTTTCGCATTTATTGTTTGATTTCATAAGAAATTTTCAATTTTTATAAAACAAATTTTTTTAGTTTTAAAATTTTCGGCTCTTAAAATAATAGAAAATTTTCGTCCAAATATGTACATATATATATAAAAGTGTTTTTGAAAAATGAGCGAAAACATATTTTCTCACTGATGAAACTTTTTCAAATGCATTTTTTTAATATTCCTCTTCGGAAACTCACACCGCTTTGAATTCAACGAAAATTTAGTTTTAATTACCAAAACCCAAACAAAAAAAATTTGAAAAATTATTTCATCATTATACTTTTTCAGCACGTAGTTTTTAACTTCTGTCTTACACCGAAACTATTTCGATTTATCTCTGATTATAATTTCAAAATTCCCATAGAAACTTTGCGCTACACTATACATGCAACCACACATCGAATTTCTACTGCATCATAGTATCTGCATTAATTCATTTCAAATTTTCTATCTCCTACTATTTTTGGCATCTAACAATTACGGGTATTTAAATTTTTCGCATGAAATTTACAGCCAATTTCACGAAAGCAATATAAGTGAGAAATGATTTTAAGTTTTTGAATTTTATATGGAAATTTGACAGAAAATAAAAAATCATTTTCCATTTAAATTGCTGGTGAAACCGGCTGTTAAATTCTCGTATGCCTGCCTTTGACATTTAATATTTATATATATATATATATTTTTTTTTTTTTAATTTTTACTTTGTATGATTTGATAAATTCCCTCATTTTTAGCGGTATAAGACAGGTATGTAATTACATAGATTAAATTTCTAGAACTGCCTAGGCAACATTTAGCTCGTTTTTTTTCTCCTCCATCATTACACAATTGCTTAAGAATTAAACTTTCTTTAGCTATTATCATTTACACACACATACATATACAATTGATTAAACAATTACAAATTAGAAAAAAACTATGTAAATCTAAGTCTGGCATTCTTACAGGGCTGCCACATAGTGTTGTAGATCGCAAATAACGGTACACATATGCCCTAATTTTGGGTGCGTGCCCTTTAGATGTGTATCTTTGCATCTGCTTGTGTATTCGGCGCCGCGCCGTGTTGACGCATGCGCCATGCGCCGATCGCATATTTGGTTAATTTTAGTTTAGAGTGTATTTATTAATTCATTTTTGAAATGATTTAAAGCTTTTGGTGTTTGTTGTTTGACCTTATGCCGTGTTTATGGCGCACTTTACTCTCACACACTTTGCCTCTCCCTCTCTTCGCCTTTTTCGTTTGCTTTTCCGCTTTATTTGCATTTTCCTTTTTCTTCTTCTCTCCCCAGCATCGTTTGTGCTCCTCAATACTTCCCCGCCGCTGTCACTGTTGCAACACTACAACAACAACTGCTGCTCACTGCTGCTCGCGTGGTGATGATGATGATGATGATGATGCGGCTCGCCGTTGACAGATCGCAGCGCGTTGGTTGTTGTGCGTTGACAGCACTCATCACATTGCAACAACTCATTTTCGCATTCTTCCTGCTGTTCCTGCTGCAGCTGTTGTTGTTGCTGCTGTTGTTGTGGCACGACCACACTACAGTCATGCTGCTGCGCGCGCCGCAGTGTGCCGGACATGTAGTCGAGAGTCTTTTCGATGGCGCGCAGTCTCTTCTCCAACGAAGTCGTCGCTAGAATGTCAACCTGTGAAACGAGAGAGAAAGAGAGAAATTAATTAGTTCGTTTGTCCACAAGACAATGTACCAATGTGTAGCGCTTACCTTCAGTTGCTGATTGAGCGGCAGCAGCGCAATGATCCACCAAGCCCACGCTGGCCCATCGGCAATAGTCTCCCAGTTTTCCTCCACAGCCGGCATCTCACCCAAACTCTGCAGTATCTCTTGTTTCAGCTCGGTGCTGAGACTTTCGAACCAATCAATCGCCTTGCCCAGCACGATTGCGTGCATGTTGTTGACCGTCTTAACCATCTCGTCGGGTATCGTCTCATCGTAAATGTACTCCACTTTGGCCGTCTCGTACCCATCCTTCTCGTTGCGCGCCAAAATCTTGAAACGCTTGCAGCCCACTGTGCTGAGGATGGAGCAGCCGTCGCCGAGCAGCACACAGTCGCGTATGTCGAGCATCGTGCCAACGTCAAAGTAGCGCGATTTACCGCTATTTGGCTGCACAATGCCGAATTGCTTCTCACCTGATTCCACGGCGCGTCGCACCATTAGTCGATAGCGCGGCTCGTAGACAAACAGCGGACATGGCACATAAGGGAAGGCGGTTGTGCAGATGAAGACCGGCACCGAGGGCTCCAGGTCGATCTCCTGGCGGAAACGCGTCTCGTAGTTGTCTGGAATGAATCGTTTCATTGCGGCTTCAAGGAATTTGGTCACTGGCCGCTTGGCCACAATGAAGGGAACGGGCGAGGATGAGCCCTGATACATGGTATTGACATTTGGTTCCACAAGTGGCGACATGCACAATGGACACGAGGAGGTGTAATCCATGCAACGATCCAAGCATACCCGGCAGTAAGTGTGACCACAGGGTGTCACCACCGGCTTCCAGAAGGTACGGCAACACAGCACACAATCGAAATCGCTGGCATCCACCAGACCGGCGGGCACTTGTAGTAACGGTTTCTGCGGTGCGCCATTTACCAAATCGAGCTCTGCAATAAAATTCTCATGAAGTCACATTTACAATTCAGCGATCTAAGAGAGTACTCACTTTTCAGCCGCTGCAACTCTTGCTGCACCCGGACCAAGGTGTTGCGGAAGAGCACGCTGTAGTGCACCTCCTCCAACGTCGAATTCAATGTAGGCATCAGCTCCGTTTCTTTTTGCGTCCATTTCCGGCGGAAATGCTTACGTGACGTTTGTCGACGTAATTCAATGTCAAAGTGCTTCTCCATCCCCGCGTAAATCGAGAAACGCTTATCCATGAGCGTGTCGCCGATACCCGATATGTACTCGGTAATATTAGCGCCGCTGCCAGCATCACCACCGAAACCACCACCGCCAGCGATGGCACCATCCGTAGTGGCCAAGTAATCGCTATCCGCGATAATATCACATTTACTGTCGTACGGTATAAATTCGTCGTCGATGGAACTTAAATTATCGCCATTGGCATTGCTGAGCAGTGCGATTTCTTTGCGCCGGCGCAAGTGTTGCTCGGCCGTGAGCAGCTTGTAAGGAACAGCGGCAATGGCGGAACCTGAGCTGAAGGTACGCTGAAGCAGCGATTTACTTTTCGGAGTTTGGGCGAGGAGTTTCTGCAAATTCTGCAAGTGAAGAGGAGGAGATTCTAATTTAATTGGATTGGTTTAGGAAAGCAAGTCTTTTAAAATTTGATTTGGACTAAATGGCTGTATTCATCACCAATTGGAGAGCCTGCAATGCTTTCAATTTGATTTCATTGACATTTTTGTTGTCTTACCTTTGCGAGATCATGTTGAAAAAGTTCCGAACTAGTGAGTAGTGTATCCTTGTCGAGACATATGGCCAAACAGTTGTCGTAGAGCGCCTCATCGCAACGACCCAAATCACTCAGCGCCAGTGCGCGTAGATAGTGAGCCTGTAAGCCGAAAATTTATAGTAAATAAGTTGGTAAAGATTGCATGAGTGTCTGAGGGTTATTCGCATTACCTTCGCTGATGTGTAGCGCGTCTTTAATGCGTTCTCAGCATCGGCCAGTGAGCTCTGGAAATGATTTAGTTTACGCAGAACTTCGGCGCGTAGTAGTAAACTCTTGAAATTTGCGGGCGCTGTAAAGAGAAGAAAAAGGAAAAAAATTAATAAATCGGTCGATAAAACTAATTTACTTAAATTATTTTTAGAAAGAATTGATTTAAAGTGTTGAAATTTTCATAAAGTATGTTCAAGTATGTTCAGCAAGTCAAAGGATAAGGCGCCTGCCTTGAGGAGGAGGAAAACATGTAAGGAACTAGAAGGAAAAGTTTAAAAAATGTTTATCAACAATGTCCCTAAACAATTTTTAAGCAAAAAAAAACACCACCAAATTCAGTTCTCGTTTATAAATTTTGAGGTACCTTTAATTTTTTCATAATACAATGATCGGATCTAAACCATATTACGGGACAACTCTTGAGGTACCATCTTTCCGATAAAAAAAAAATAATTATTGAAATCGGTTTACTCTCTGGTTTTTTGAAATCGGTTAAAAATATTTGAGTTCTTTGTTAATTTTATGCAAATAAAGTGCAATTTTTAAACTTATTTACAATTACAATTACAATTTATAAAAGTTGAGTGGTGAACCATAATAGGGGCCTTACATAAATGTTTTTTTAAAGAGCATTTTATCTGATGCAAATTTTCAGCATTTTCTGGTGATATATAACTTTAGAAGTATAATTCCCCCCAAAATAAATTCCTGGGTGCGCCCCTGTATGTATTTATTGATATATATATTAAGCTGAAACAATTTAATCAAAAAAGCCTCCTTACTTCGAACATTCGAGAACATACATACATACTTACATACATATGTAGATATGTACATGCATTAACTCAACAGCCAATTGTAGTTTCCCCAAAGTTCAGAGCAATAACACCTCCGCGCTGTTATCGCGCCCCCAACCAAAAAAGAAGAAAAATACTACAGAATTTTCGAACGTTCCGAGAAGGTGTCACTTCAAATGAAAACGCCAGAAAAAACCTGCTTTCATTAATGCCAATTTAAATGGAAATGTCAAAAAGGCTAACAAGCACTCGCCCGTACACACACTTTGTGCCTTTGTGCTGCTCAACTAGCCAAGTGTGACGTATGCGGCTTTTATTATTAGCACCCGCACACAAACGCCACAAACGATTTCGGGTGCGCGGAGTGTGCCTGTCAATATTTGAGTGGCTGTGGCTATCAGCAAATACGCTGCGCCCGTACCTCCTCCGACAAGGTGTGCCGCAGGGTGCTGGCGGCAATTAGCAGCCGCTTGACGCATTGCCAACAAAAGTAAACGAGCAGCCGTGAAATGTCGTGGAAAATCGCACTGGCAAAATAATGATAAGCCGCATGGCCACTTATGTCTACGAAATATTGACAGAATCCATTTCGTACTCATTACACTAATCGTACAAAAATTAAAAAAATTTGTTGTAAATGTAAACAATGAAGGCACTCAGACATCTACATACATACGTGTGTATATGTATATGCGGGCTTCGGGCGCACGGCAGTGGGGTAAAAGTTATTTGAACAAATGCATGCCTGTCCACGCGCCATTTCGCCCCACTCAGCATGTAGGGATGAGAGGTGGGGGCTGGCGGCAGCGCGCGGCCTTACGAACAAATCACTATTACGCTATGCAAAGCCAACAGCAAAGGCGGCGAGTGATGTTGCAACAGTCGAAATTTGTAAAGGTAATTTGGTTTTATTTAAAATTGTCGCCGCTATTTGTATTGCGTTGTTATTTTTGCTGTATTGCCTGCCAAAACCCAAGACTCCTGCATGCGGGTGTGCAAATTTGCAAATTGGCGCAATCAACGATCTGCATGACGTTCGTTGTTGACGCTGATGCCACAGCGCTTGTATTCCTCTGTAATTGTTTTGTTTATATTTCAATTTATTTCTATTGCAGCTTAGCGCCACCCATCGCCAGCACTTACAGCATAGCCAATTGCCGATTGCGCGCAACCATTGCAGCCCTTCTAGTCGCTCACCGTCCGTTGAGTGAGCCTCCAGTTGCTGCCGCAACGACTGTTACGTTTGCAGGCGTTGGCGTCAGTGTCGCTGGTGGCGTTGGTTGCGGCGCAGCGTGCGTGCAACCGATTACATCGCCAATAGAGAGTGCAACGTATTGCACAAGCGATTGCGGCATAACCTATTGCGCTATGCTTGCGGCGCTTGGAGCATTTGGAGCTGCGCGACTGTTGCGACTGTGATGGGTGCCGCGCGAACGATGAGCATGTCGTCATACTCGATTTATATTTGCATTAGCGATGGCTGCTTGGCTGCTTGGCTGTGTATTTATTAGTTGTATTTTAGGTTTTTGTCGCTGCTCGTTGGCGTCCCTGTTGCATATGCGCGGCATCGCTGTGATCGCGGCGCTCAACTGGTTTCGTGACGATTCTGCGGTTATTTAAGAAACATTTTTGTTATGTCTTTCGATTGGTGGGTGGTGCGGCACCGGCAGAAGTGGCAAACTGAAAATTATTGGTACGTGCGTCTGTGCAGTACGGGTAAGTGAGGGTGTGTGTATGTGTTTTATTTTATGCAAATGCGGGTATTTTTATGCAAATCGAGTGCAATTCGTTTACGTAATTAGAAGCAAACCTTCTACAAAGTATTTGCAATGCAGGAATAATTTGTACCTTTGAATGATTACCATTTGCGTACAATTTGTATCTGTTTAAAACTACTTGGGCGACAACAATTAAGCCTAGAATGGAATGGCAGAAGCTTGGCAATTGCGATTGCAAAACGAACTAATTTGAATTTTTGCATTAAGTAAGCTCAATAAGCGTCGTGCCGGAAACGATCAGAATCTTCATTAGTTGTATAAGTAGCGAACGGTAGGCGCTATTTTCAGTCAATAATTTGGGCGATGACGCTTTCCCCAAGTTACGTAAAACAAGTTTACAATTAAACAAATGGCGGCAAATGCTTTTAAATGAGAGAACTAAGTCTCTCCTTTGCTCGAGTAATTCTCATCTTAGAGAATATGAATCTTTGTTTAGAAGACTGCTTTCACAAAAATTGGCGCAGCTCAAGGCACTTTTCTTATGTATTGCAAATAGTTGATACAAGTCTTACTAGCTTCGGGCACGCTTACTCAATTACTTCAATGACCATCCGTGAGCTCAGCGAAGTGTTTTCTCCACGTATTGATGATCTGGTCGTCAGACATCAGCCCGGTATTCTTATCCCCACAGCAATTTCCCCCGGTCTTGAATATTTAGGTTCCTAGGTAAAAGAGAATCCCTCTAGGCTCTTTGCTGTTCATATTTAGTGACATGGCACTCCGCACCGTAGCAATTATTTCTTCGGCTGTCCGAGAAATGAACCCGGCATATTAGAACTCGGCAAGCGGATCGCTGTGTACCGAGGCTAATGGGTGTATGGCACATTGGCAGGCGTTGGAACAGAGGTCCAGTAAACATATTCACAATTGTGTCGAATTTGGATAGTAAAGTTAGCGAAGGCGATCTCTGTCAAGAATGCTCTTAAGTTTAGGTTTTAGGATTTCAAGCAGATATTGTAGTCACTCTGGGATCGCTTAAAGTGCAACTGTGCAAATTCTTCAGAAAATACATGATCCCCCTTTCGCTTGGCTCGATTAATTTCCAAACCATGCGGATTTCGCTCGCAGGGCAGGAAAACACTGCAGGAAAAGTTGTGGCTAATGAATTGCCTAGACAGAGCCGCCAGGGTGCTCTTCACCATTATAGACATGGACGGTCACAATACTTAGTTGATAAATCATTCTGATCGGCACTTCAGTTCGTGCGGTCAAAGGAGCTTCTTCAGCTACTTATCGCCACCTCTCGGATTTAACACGAGTCTACTCGGCCACTATACAATAGAAACCCATGCGGTACGACTTAACGTCGTTTTGGATTCCTATTGTTGTAGCTGTATGAGGGACGGCGATGTACAGTCATCTCAATATTTTTGGTTTTAACTGTCCTGCTTTTGGAAGGCTTAAGTTTAAACATCTCAGCACGTATTTCAAACAAACTTGAGTGGAACTCTCTGCGATGACCATCGTCCGCCACCGGAACTTCATTTTGATCACGCAGCGTATGTTATCTACGGCTGTGCTCGGGTGGGCGACGGGAACTGAAAATGATAGAAATGACAAACTGTATGAGCTTTTTAACGATTTGGACACAGATGAGCACCTAAAAGTACGAAGATTGCCCTGGCTTGGCATATTGTACGCATCGATAGCGACGCTCGGGACCTGTCTGCACTCGGGATGAACAACTGCCACCAACTCACAAAGGAGAGAGGTAATTGGCGAAGTTTACTGGTTTCGGACCAAACCGAAAAACAGTTGTAGTGCCAAATAAGAAGAAGAATAATCTTTTTTGCCAATACTTTCACGTATTATCTGCAGTAACCCCGTTCCAGGAAAGGTCTATTAAGTGGTAGCACAACGCACTATCTGAACTGACCCCAGTCAAGCTTATATCCGATTTTTTCTTATCGATGCATGGCAAACGCCGATTTCGTTGCCGCTTCTAGAGTGCGCTTGGAAGTCTTGAATGAGAATAGATTTGCAAATATTTTTACAATTCATTGAAAAAGGTCATATTTAATTTCGTAATAATTGTTCCACTTAAGGCAATTCAAATTTGATGAAACCCTGTGAAATTAAAAAAGGAACATCCACTAAAAATAAACAAATTTAATTGTTTGTATCGCTTTAAAATAGGTATAGACTTCATTGACATTTTAGATACTAACGAAAAATAAGTGTTGTTACTGCTTTAGAACTCCCACCTCTACGTTCAATATATCTTGCAACAATAAAAATATATTTGCTTATTTAACTCATGAATATATACCTTGTTTTTTTGAATATGCTTTTGATGTTATTAACAGAAATACTCTGGAGTAGTCTGGAGATGGTTTTGTAAAATAATAGCTAGAGAAAATACCGCCTATCAAGGCAATGCCTCCAAAGAAAACTCGTTTTTCCGTTCTCCTTTAAAATTTGAGTGCCGTAAGATAGGCGGTTTTGCCAAAACATCGACGATATAATGATTTTACTGCCTTCATACAGTTTTGGAAACTCTAATT